TGTATGTATATATATATATATATATATATATATATATATAATTACAATATACTGTAATATTATTAAACAGAAATTGGGAGTGTTTTTAAAAAATATTACAGACAACAAACTGCTAATGTATGTTTGATGATGATCAAATTCTGAATATCATGAAGTTGTTTTAAAAGATATTGCTCCATTAAGTAACTTTTTGTTAGTGGCTTGTAGTGTAACTAACTTTTTTTGAACTACTTTAAATTGGAGTTCCTAGCTTGTTTGCCTCGCATAGGTTATTTCCACTGGTAACCGCAGTTGTTACATTGCAGGGTGGCATCCAAAAGGTCTTCTAGTGGCCCATCTCCACGAGCACAAATCTGCAGTGAACCGAATCAAAATTTCCGACGAGCACTCCATCTTTGCTACATGCTCCAATGATGGAACTGTAAAGATCTGGGACAGCCAGAAAATGGAGGGCAGGACGACCACCACAAGGTAGATAATATCTATACAAAGTCTATAAATTGTCTAGGTTGTTGTTTTACTTTTATGTGAGCTGAAATGATTGAAAATGCGATCGTTTCAGGTCTGTGCTGACGTATTCTCGGATTGGAGGCCATGTGAAAACACTGACCTTTTGTCAGGGGTCACATTACCTTGCTGTTGCATCAGATAATGGTTCCATCCAGCTTCTTGCAGTTGAAGCAAACAAGCCGCCCAAATCACCCAAAGTCCAGCCCTGTCAGACCAGGTGTGTGCAGGTCATGTAACTCCACTTGTAGCATCCTAAATTTGTGTGCTGCCATACAATGGTACAAATGAGTAAATCAGGACCATCACACTCAGGTCAGTGTCACTCAACCAGTCAGATCAGTGAGCCATTGAGTCTCTTCCAGGTTCCTGGATCCCAAGGATGAGGGCTGTGCGGTGGACGTACATCACTTTAACTCAGGGGCACAGACAGTTCTGGCCTATGCCACTGTGAACGGTTTTTTGGTGGGTTGGGATCTCCGCAGCAATAGCAATGCCTGGACCCTCCGCCATGACCTGCGCCTAGGCCTCATTACTTCCTTTGCTGTGGACATGCACCAGTGTTGGCTGTGTGTGGGTAAGAGGGCTGGATAGTTTGGGTGGTGTTTCTTGGTGCTCGTACAAGCAAGTGAAGCACATGTGTGCCGATCAAACCCAAATTACAGAAGAATGTTTTCAGGAAATTCCTATACCATTATAGTGATTCATAAGGTTTGCTGTGTCAAACTTGGACTTATTTTATGTCCTACTTACACAGGCACAAGTAATGGCACAATGGCTTGCTGGGATATGCGTTTTCAGTTGCCAATTTCCAGCCACTCCCACCCAGCCCGAGCGAGAATCAGACGCCTGCTGATGCATCCACTCTACCAGTCCTCTGTCATTGCAGGTAAAAAGTCTCTTATGATCACCAATGCTACATTTATTTGATCAAAATAAAGCAATATTTTGAAATACTATTACAATTTAAAATAACTTTTTTAAAATATATTTTAAAGTATAATTTAGTCCGGTGATGGAAAAGCAGAATTTTCAGAAGCAATTACTCACTCAGATGATCCTTCACAAATCATTCTAATAAGCTGAAAACAGTTTTTCTAAAGAACAGAAAGTTTAAAAGAACAGCATTTGTTTTTTTGTAATTACAAGTCTTTACTGTCACTTTTGAGGAATTTAATTTATCCTTTCAGAATAAAAGTATTGATTTCTTAAAAATATATAAAATAGAGTATGAATGTTTTAAAGGTTTTTCTTATTCTCTTCAGCTGTCCAAGGTAACAATGAGGTGTCCATGTGGGATATGGAGACTGGAGACAGGAAGTTCACCCTGTGGGCTAGCTCTGCACCGCCGCTTTCAGAGATGCAGGTATGTTGTCACTTCTGCATTACAATACACGTTCACAATAATAAATAAATCCAGATTTGCCTGCTGTCATTACACTGGAATCTGTTGTTCTCTACAGCCCTCTCCTCACAGTGTTCATGGGATATACTGTAGCCCTGCTGATGGCAATCCTCTCCTACTTACAGCTGGATCTGACATGAGAATCAGGTGAGACTAATTAGCAAACTAATCACTGTTGAGGGGTGATGATTTATGAGTGAGTGAGTGAGTGAGTGACGTGACATGTGGCCAAGTATGGTGACCCATATTTGGAATTAGTGCTCTGCATTTAACCCATCCAAAGTGCACACACACAGCAGTGAACACACACACCGTGAACACACACCCGGAGCAGTGGGCAGCCATCCATTTTTGCTGCGGCGCCCGGGGAGCAGTTGGGGGTTCGGTGCCTTGCTCAAGGACACCTCAGTCGTGGTATTGAAGGTGGAGAGAGCGCTGTACATTCACTCCCCCCACCTACAATCCCTGCCGGTACAAGACTCGAACCCGCAACCTTTTAACCTTTGGGTTACGAGTCCTACTCTCTAACCATTAGGCCACGACTTTTAGCAGGTTAGAACTAGGCATCAAGGCTTGTTCGAATCCAATGTTTGCACAACAACCTGTTTACAAAGACTACCTTCACATTAATGTGAAATATTTCATATTTGAAAGCGACATTTTTGTTTCCATTCAAACGATTTAAGCACTTTCCAAATATCTCGAACCCTCAGTAGAATTTAAAAATTATACCTTCATACAGAATCAGCTGCATTCAGATTTAGACACAACCAATATTTCCACAAGCAAATATTATTAATTGGGTGCAAGAGTTTTACATTCCCAAGGTTATGAGAGCATGTGCAGATATATTGAGCATGTTATGAATTCGAGTGTGTTCTGTATGATATCTGCAGGTTTTGGGATTTGGCCTACCCTGAGAGGTCATACATCGTCGCAGGTGGTGCAAACGACTCGCTTCACTGTCCTTCTGTGTTCTACAACCGCAAGATCATCGAAGGAACAGAAGTAGTACAGGTCTGAACCTCATTTCCATCTGATTTTCTGTTTTCTGCACATTTATATTTGATTGATCTTCTCCTCCGTCTCCCTCCAACCTAACCAGGAGATCCACAGTAAGCAGAAAAGCGGATCCACTGAGGACACACCCCGCCGTGGCCCAGAATCCTTTCCTGTGGGTCACCACGACATCATTACTGATATTGCGACTTTCCAGACCACCCAGGGCTTTATAGTCACCTCCTCTAGAGATGGCATTGTCAAAGTCTGGAAGTGAGAGAAACCCTGTGCCAAGATGGGACACGTTAAATTGACATCCGATGAAGTGCACTGTAAATTTAAATATAATGCCAATGAATATAATTAAGTCATTTAGGATCAAATCCACTTTAAAAAATTAAATGTAACTATATAAAACCCTGAAAGCCAACAGTTTGTGTGTGAACAGTTTGCTTTGTATGTTTTTGTTTTTTTATGATCACACTGCAGAAAACAGGACATGGCGAGCTAAAACAGTGTTTCACGCAGTAGTTACACTTATAGTGTTATTTCTGCACAGCTAAACCCGTGTAGTTTTGTTTTGAGGCCTGAGTGCAAGACATGGATGGGGATGAAACTTGCATTATAATCAATCACTTTGTAATAGTTATGGATATTACTGAATAAATGTCATGACATATATGTATTCGCTTTTTTGGTGGAAAAAAACATTGAGCACAGCATATTTAGCATTGTTTCAAGTGAACATGAAACATCTAAAATGACACATGGATTCCCAAATGAATAAAATCAAGTCCAACTGTACTTTTTTATTCTGGAAAACCTGGTCAGATTACAGAAGTAAAACAGGTTGTGAGCAGTTTTTCAAAAAATTTTAAAGATTAAAAAATGCATACATTTTAACAAATGTGTAATTACTGAAAACTATTTTAATCAAAACAGTATAAAAAAATGTTTATTGCACATTACTAGTACTGTCACAGAACATCTTCACTGGAAAACTTTATATACATTGACTTTTTAATCTACACACAACTGTGACTTACAGAAGTGTTTTTTTTTAGGTTTTTTTGGCATTTTTGCCTTTATTATTCAGATCAGAACTGACAGGAAGCAAAGTGGGAGAGAGAGATGGGGGCTGGATCGGGAAAGGTCCTCAAGTCGGGATTCGAACTTGGGACGCCCATAGCGCAACGACGCTATATGTCGGTAATTGCAACTTTTTATTTCACAAATCAGATTTAAAAAAATATTCTCATAATTTTGAGAAAAAAGTCTGAATTGCGAGATTAAAAACAGATTTTATATCAAAACTCTGAAAGAAGAAGTGCAAGAGAAAAAGTAAGAATTGTGAGATAAAAACCCACAATTACCTTTTTTTTTATCCCTTGGCGGAAACAGCAAAGCTTCCATACTTAACTGACCATAAAAGTACCACGAACATAAAAAAATATGCTTATTTGCTATTGTGTTCTGGTGCCTGTAAATAATTGTGTTTTTTGTTGTATAACCTGCACAAATATAATTTTCTAGCTCAGAGAGAATGATTGCTAAATATGAGAGTGAAGAAAGTCTTTGCTCAAAAGTGTCATTCGGAAAGTGATCCTGATTAAATGTCTCTTACACAAAGAGCTTCACATTCCTCCTGCGTGTTAAACCTGTTTTTGTTTCCTCCACATCCTCCAAACCAGAAGTGAATGCATTCATTCTGCTGGACGTCATAGTGCCAGCTAAAAACATAGTCACTGCAGGGCCCCACATCCTGTTTCATGAAGCACGCATCTGTGAGTGGAAACATCAGGAAAGAGTTCGGTCAGTGACACTTCTGGAGATATATTGTTATCGCCAGATCAAATCCTTTTAACCACGAGAGTCAGCAAAAGCCAGACAAACAGTTACAGAGACAGCTCATTTCTCACCATCCACTAATGCCGTTTCCTCTTTTGCCTGCAGGATTACTTCAGGATCTGGAGATTTAATAAAGAATAAAAATGTTTCAGCAGTTATTTTATATAGACAAAGTACCATGTGTGATTGTTGATTTCTTAAAAGTACAGTTTGTCATTTCCGTGCCACTAGAGGCACCAAATAGAATTGCAAATTGTTCATAGGACTTGACATAGTAACCAATGGTTTGAGTTTTGGGTGGGACTACATGCTTTCCAAACAACCCTGCAGAGAAATGAAAAATACATTGAACTAGACTAATAATAATAATAATAATTCATTACATTTATATAGCGCTTTTCTAGGCACTCAAAGTGCTTTACATGGGTGGCCGAATGTGGTCAGAATGCCGGGGTTACACCCCTACTCTTTTTTGAAGGACATCCTGGGATTTTTAATGACCACAGAGAGTCAGGACCTCGGTTTAACGTCTCATCCGAAAGACGGTGCTTTTTATCAGTATAGTGTCCCCGTCACTACACTGGGGCGTTAGGAACCACACAGATCACAGGGTGAGCACCCCCTGCTGGCCTCACTAACACCGCTTCCAGCAGCAACCTAGTTTTCCCAGGAGGTCTCCCATCCAGATACTGACCAGGCTCAACCCTGCTTAGCTTCAGTGGGCAACCAGTCTTGAGCTACAGGGCGATATGGCAGTGGCTAATCTGACAAAGACTAATCTGTTTTGCTGGTCTTCGTCGGTCTGTCAGAATGGTATGTTGGCTAGATTTAGAAGGGTTCTTGGGCCATTTTTTTCAGTTATTCAGGCTCAAAGACTGACCAGATTTCTGAAATGGAAACCTGGGACATTTTGAAGTTCCACTGTAAAAATACCATTGAAATCTCACTTGTTATTATAAATGAATTAAAGTATGAAGACAATACTTTTTTTTTTTTAATTATTCTACAGTAGCTGAATGTCAGTTTGCCCTGGCTGGAGGACCAGCTTAAACCAAAAAAGCTCCATTCACATTTTCTTTAAAAATCTACAGTAGCTATTTTTGCAACTTAGTTTGGTTCTGCTAGTGACACAGACATTAAACATTTAGGCATCTTATATTCAAGGTTAGGTTACATTCAGCTATTTGTACTTTAATAGCAAAGCATATTTACAATGATTTATTATGAGACACTGCACAAAGGACTTACTTTGTTTGCCACAGATCTGAAGGCATTCCTTTTCTGAATTAAACCGGTTACTGTTACCGTCACAACCCCCGTACCAGAAGGGTAAACATGTACCAACTGCTTCATTATAGTACCAGCGCTGCACATATTCACCACAGATGGTGCCACGGTCACTGTTCAGGTGACACGGATCTGAAAGCAAAACACTTATTTACTGTTAATCCATGCAGAGGATCTTGTAAAGTAATCATTTATAAAGTGAAAAAAAAAGGTGAAGTGACGTGTGGCGACCCATACTTGGAATTTGTGCTCTGCATTTAACCCATCCAAGTGCACATGCACAGTAGTGAACACACACACAGAACAGTGGGCAGCCATATTGCTGCGGCGCCCAGGGAGCAGTTGGGGGTTCGGTGCCTTGCTCAAGGGTCTCACCTCAGTCGTGGTATTGAGAGTGGAAGAGAGCACTGGTTATTCACTCCACCCACCGACAATTCCTGCTGGACCTGAGACTCAAACCCGCAACCTTCGGGTTACAAGTCCGACTTCTTTAACCATTAGGCCACGAATTATATAAGCAATGTCTATATAAGATTGCTTTTGTTTAAAGTGAAATATAATTCACTAACACTAGAGACACTGTGATGTGAGCTGAGGTTTTTAAGAACGTACTGTCAATGCGGTCAATAGGAGACTTGACTCCTGAGTTCTGCTGGTCCTCAGTCTCCTCCACTGCAGCGTCTTCTTCCTCCACTTCCTCTTCCACCGCTACATCTGGGTATGCAATGGATGCCACAGGAACACTAGGAAATAGCATTTGTTTTGAGCATAATTTATAATAAATTAAATTGATTATAATTTATAATTAATTATAAATAAATTTAGATTTGAATGAAATAAATTACATTTACATTTAGTCATTTAGCAGACACTTTTATCCAAAGTGACTTACATACAAATGAGAACAATAGAAGCAATGTAATATAAGAATGTATTTATTAATTGCAGGTTTATTTTAATAACCTGCATCTTTGTAAATAAGTACCTGCTTTCTTTCTATGTAAATTACATTATAAATAAACATACATTACATACATTATAAATAAACAAATCTATGTATAAATGAAAAAAAAAAAAAAAAAAAAAAAATATATATATATATATATATGGTTTATTTTTCGAAACCTGCATCTTAAGAAGCTTTTTTCCATGTACTTATTTATTGCAGGCTTATTTTATTAAACTGTAAATAGGTATCTGCCTGCTTTCCATGTAAATTACATTTATAAAACATTTTTAAAAAGGTAACCTGAATCATTTTAAATATACACCTGCCTCCTATGTACATTACATTTGTTATATGTAAATTACATTCACTATTTATTTATTTCTTTTCATTTTATTTCATTTCACATTTTATTAACCTGCCTTTCTATGTAAATAAATAAATTTATATACATAAATAAATAAATGTACTTTATTGCCAGTTTTAAGCTGCGTCTTAATAAGTACCTGCCTTTTTTATGTAAATTACATTCATAAATAAATAAATTCATTGCAAATGTATTAACCTGAATTTTACTAACCTGCACCTTTCTATGTAAATGACATGCATTATATGTAAATTACATTCACTATAAATAAATGTATATATAAATAAACATGTATTTATTTATTTATCACTATTGCAGATTTATTTTATTAACCTACAGCTTATTAAATAAGCACCTTCCTTCTTACTATGAAACTAAATAAATAAATAAACACAGTGTTCAATGTTCAGTGTTACTTCTATGACCTCAAACAAACAGATATTTAACATTAGATTAGAACAACAGATCAGATTTTGTCAGTTGATACCTATATACAGGTCTCTCTGCAGCCTCGAAGTCCAAACGCTGACCTGGACGTTGTTGAAAATTGCTACACTGACGCTGGAGTGATGGAGGAGGGTAGGAGTTCACATTTTCTGCAATCACAAATAAACTATATTAACACAAACAAGCCCCTCAAGATGAACAAATTTATGCAAAGCTATCCTAATCATTTATTCACCCTCATGGTAAAAACACATGTTTTTTGTGCTTTCTGAGTGTCATCAGTGTGAGCATAGTTTGACTGGCTGAACTATCCCAAAGATTAAGTCCTCAAATCTGCATTAAAGGACATAAAGCATTCCTTACTGCTCAGAATGTGGAAGAACGTCCTCATGAAGCGCTGAGCATACTCAGGTTCTCCATGTTTCAAGTGTCCCAGGTGAATGATGTGATGTTCTAAGGGGTAGCTGGCAAGCTCCTCCACCTGAGCAGTGCTGATGTGGTCACCCACCGTCAGGGTGAAGAGAACAACACCCTCACACTTTGCCACCCTGGAGATAAGGTCCAGCTTCGCTCTGTCCTGAGATGCCATCTCCTCTCCAATGATGGCCAACACCATCTTGTTCTTGCGGCCCTTAGGAGCGGTGAGGATGCCCTGCATTATGGCGTATTCCATCGCAAGATCCAGTCGGGAAGAGCCTCCGGTTTGCTGTAGATCCTGGTAGATGCTCCGCTTCATTAAACTGCGATCTGGGAACTGTTGGAAGCTGAAAATCACTTTGACACCGGACTGGGCTTCGCTGTACGAGGAGCTCTGCTGGTAGACGGCCACTCTCGCTTGTCTGTCGGCCCCGTTGGGTTGACTGCTCACGACGATCTGATCGAGCACACCGCCGAGCACCTCCTTCACACCCTCGTACTCGTCAGACAGGATGCTACGGGAGCCGTCCACAATCACCACCAAGTCCATGTCCACCTCCTGAGGAGCAGATGGCAGGTTGGTGCCGTCACATTCTCTAGCTGGTCTGCAGGGATCTTAGAAGAGAAAAGAGAGCTGATCACAAACAAACCACGACCACAGACCTCCATAGGGAGATCTGCAGAAATCAAACACCTATCATTCACAAGGTTCTACACATACTCCATTCCTCGCATGTATGTTTATTAAACAGTTTTTTGTATTATTTAATGCTTTTAGCTACCTATCCGAATATAGTACTTTTACACATTAATTTGATCAGAAATGTTTAAGTTCATTTGAATTGTCTGACCTTATTTGCAGACTTTTTGCAAATATAAACAATGTTTGAGACACTGTACACTTATTATATTGGGAAAGGTTTTTAAATTAATACTATTATTTAGCAAGGATGTATTACATTAATAATAGTGACAGTGAAGACATTTATAATGTAACAAAAGATTTCTATTTCATGTAAATGCTTAACTTGAACTTATTCATCAAGGAAATACTGAAAAAAGGATCATGGTTTCCACAAAAATATTAAGCAGTTTTTCACACAATAATAATAATAATATTTATTAAGCAGCAGATCAGCACATTAAAATCATTTCTGAAGGATCATGTGACACTAAAGACTGGAATAAGTTATTTTCAGTTGCAACAATACTTCACAATAATGAGGTGAGCTTGGTGAGCAGATTCTTTTAAAAATATCTTACAGATACCAAACGTTTGAATGGCATACTATACATATTATATGATATGATATATGATATGATATGATGGGTCTTCTTTTGGTTTCATGTAGCACTGTTAAATATTAGATCATCTTCTATAGAATGAATCATGATTCTTCCTTATTTTCTTATTGCTATTTGACACATTCGTATTTTTTCACTGGGTGTGAGAGAGATGGAGAGAAATGACTGGGTCTTACCAAAGCAAATAACACAACTCTGGATCTTACTGAGAGTAGTATTCTGTTCTTGCAATCTACCCAGCACAGTCAAGATAAAACTCTGGGTTTCATCTGCCTGCATACAACAAAACATCACACAATGAGAATGAATAGGCCTACACACTGTTAAAAACAGTTTTGTATTAAAACTTCTTCTGTTAGGCACACACATCATGATGAAATCATTAAAGGGGCAGTTCACCCAAAAGTAAAAATTCAGTCAGCATTCAGAAAGGTTTGAAGAACCAATTCACTAACTTAAACTTAACAAGTAATAGAAAAGAGTGATGAAGGCGAGTAAATGATGACAGAATTTTCATTTTCGTGTGAACTATTCCTTTAAATAATAAAAAGTTAAGTAAAATACAGATTTAAGTGTGCTTACAGTAACTTTACCTCAAAAGCTCTTCTAATATTAGGGACATTTCTTAGTGAGATGACCCCAAGCTTAATGTTCAGGGCTTTGTACTCTAGAATGGCTGTGGTGAGGGACGTCGAATCCTGAGATTCTCCAGCGGTGAGGAAGATCGCTACCTTCCTCATCAGGACACCCTTTCGCACACGCTTCAGGACATTCCTGCCCACGAACTGCATGGCAGCGCCTATGTTACGTCGATTTGAAGTGCGTTCCAAGGCGATGTTATTCACCGCTTCAATAAGCTGCTTCTTGCGGTGATAGTCGGTGAAGCGGATCAGGAATCTGGTGTAGGAGCTGTAGGAGACCACAGCCACCCGAGCCCCTGTTGGACAGCTGCTCTCTGCAATGTTAATATTGTCCAGCAGTCTAAGGACTACAGAACGCATGCGGTCAAAGCCTTGAGGAAGCACATCTTCAGACATGTCCAAGCCAATCACAAGATCAGTGGGGTAGGCAGGGCATTTTATGTTATCTGAAGAGACAAATATATAAGAGAGAGAAGAGTAAGAGACCATATTTAATAATGAATTTAATTTTAATTGAATGAATGAATGAAATGAATTTTTAATTTTCATTTATAAAATTTATTTCACATTTTTGGCTTCTCATTTCAGTGTTCTTAGAAATATGACATAAAAAGTTACCTACCTCTGCAGCAAACTGTTAAAAAAACAACAAAAATGTCAATAAAAAGCATCATCATAAGGCTATTATCTATTTCAAGAAAAAAAAAAAGAATCATAAATAAAGGTTTCTTACCACAGTTATCTCGGACATATGAGATCAGTTGACAGTCCTACAAAATAATTTATATTATTTAGATGTATATACATATGTGTGTGTGTGTGTGTGTGTATATATATATTTACTTATATTTCAAATTTAGACATTTCATATTTAGACACAACTCTATTTTGATTATTGTAACTTTGCAAATATACTATATTTGTACTTATTTGTATTAAATTTACATTACCACATTTAGAATCCTGAAAAAATGCATCGCAGTTTCCACAAAAATATCAGCATATTAGAATGGTTTCTGAAGAATCATGTGACACTGAAGACTGGAGTAATGGCTGCTAAAAATGTAGCTTTGCCATCATAGAAATAAATTAAATTTTAAAATATATTAAAATAAAAAACAATTATTTTAAACTGTTGTTTTAGATTTTTTTGTTTTTTACATTATGTGAACTAAAGTATTATTTTCAAAATCCCACAATTTCTTTCCAGGTTCCAGTACATATAACATTTTAAATGTTAAACTGTACAGCAGTAATAAAAAAATAAAAAATAAAATCAGAAACTTACAGAAATCTGTCTGGTTCCTCGTGGTCCTTTTGGGCCCTATGTGAAGAAAACAACATTCAGTATCCCTTCAAATTCCCATGATCATGATGTGAATAATTTTAATATAAACATACCCTGTGTCCAGTCATGCCCTCGCTGCCAGGATCTCCAAGTGGTCCTGGCCTTCCAGCATTGCCCTGTTATCAGATATCCAATTAAGTCTCCTTAAGGTTCATAGAATGAGTAAAAAAATAAAACTTTAAAATGTTATTACCCCTCTTCCTCTGTTGCCTTTAGGACCACCACCTCCATTTCCTCCTTTAAAACCCTGTTCACCCTGAATGTCAAAAAAGAGAGTGACTAAACATTGTTCACTCATTATTGGTTATACTATCAAGTGATTATTTTAGAACCAACCACATTATAATTACTGTACTTCCAAGTTTTGGATGAATGAAAACTCACCTGAAGTCCAGGATAACCTGGGAAACCAGAATCTCCCTAAGAAAAAAATTTAAGAAATAAAAAATAAATAATTTTAAAATATATATTAAAAGACTATATGTTGTTTTTAGTGAAATAATACCATACTGTATATTGTGGCATCGCACAAATTTGATATTTTAGAACAAATTATTGCAACATAGTTCTCTATAAACCTTCTGTCCTTTGGGTCCTGGGAATCCATAGCCATCTGCACCATCTTTTCCCTATGATAAATAAATGTTGCAATCAGTGGTTGCATCTGTATCAAATGTCAAATAAAGACAATCAGAAAAAATGTTGAATTGTTACATTTAAGAACAAAACCGCATTTCTGAATTTGCTAAATGATGATGCATAATGCCCAACATTGCTGAGTTTCGGTAGCGTATAAAAAAGAAAGAAAAAGTAACCGGCAGTCCTCTAGGGCCTGGAGATCCGAAAGCTCCCTTGTCTCCAGGATCACCTGGCTGGCCCTGCAAGATGAGAAGGTTTATTGCTAAAAAAGCTTACATTTATAAATAAAGAGGATGATTTAAAAAGAAGTCACTGACCTTCTGTCCCCTGGACCCAGAGCTTCCTTTAGATCCTGGCCTTCCTGGAGAGCCAGGAGATCCCTGTGTAAAAGAAATCAACACAATCTCATTGATGGCCGGATGTGGTTTACTGGATATTAATGGCAACAGTAACCAAATAAAATAGTCAATTCATTGTTTTTCAACGTGCACCTGAGGTCCAGGTAGACCGATATAACCTTTCTGCCCAACTGGACCAGGTGGACCAATAGCACCCTGAACAGAGACAGAAAGAAAGACTCGATCACATGCTCAAACTCAAAATATTTACATATATGAGATCAAATGTATTTTGAATGGGGGTTACATACATTTCACATAATTAATAGTACTCCAACACAAATGTCATCTTCAATTGCATCTTTTCTCACTGTTAACAAACTGGCAAACAGCATTCAGCTACAACTCTACATTACCAGTGGACCTGTGGCTCCAGGGAGTCCTTGTAGTCCTGGTGTTCCTGAAGGCCCTCTGGGACCCTGAATTCACCAACAAAAAAGTTATTTGGTATAATTTTAGAAGTGGCTTAAATAATATTTCGACAGTACTTTACCAGCAGACCCGCTGAGCCTCTTCTGCCATTAGGACCCTGAAAATAAAGATCAAGATATTAAAAGAGAAAACAGGCTTATAAGTTAATACTTCTGTACTATATTTACATATCAAAGATTAAGATTCATTTACTGGTCTGCCATTATCACCAATTTGATCAGGAAGACCATCTGGACCTGGTTCACCCTGTTCACACAGAGAGAGAATGATAAGAAAATAATTGATATTTGTTGTTAAATCATTCATATATAAATACATACACACACACAAGGACTAAGCAACAATAAAAAATAAATACTACTAATAAAATGTATAATAAATATATAGTCGACAACAAATTTCATTATTGATCATTATCGTCTGGTCTTTTGTCACTGACATCCGTTTTCTGGGTTACAGCTTTTATATCTGTTTTTATGTTTTTATAGAATTACTGTAAATGTGAACATTTTTTGGAATAGAACATCGGCCAGGATGCAGAATAACATGTTTTCCAAAAAAATACAGAATACAGAAAATAAAATGACACTTTTTTATTGTATTAATCAAAAAGATTACAAACAACAGATTAGTTTATCATTTTTATTTGCAGCCCTAAAATTTCTATTACTACACTTAGACATGTAAATGTAAAATGTCACTGTTAAGGGTCAGTTGTTAGTAAAATTAAATAATCTCCCCATACCTGAATGCCTGGGCCGCCGATGTCACCTTTAGGACCGCGGGAGTTGTTGTCTAATCCTGGACTTCCCTGATTATAATCGAATGGATTAACAGGGGTCAAAATTCAGCCAAACACTACTGGAACATCTACGTTTGACGCTTATCAGTCGCTGTCCTTGCACCTGCTATTATTCCCCACAAGTACCCTACAATTTTGCTTCAAGACGCTAGAGACATTCTTTGCCAAATTTGGCAACAAGAAACCATGTTAACCACAAACCATTCCTTTGGAACAGAGTGAGCTTGACAAATTAACTGAATTACTGTATGCAAACTACTTGAATCTAATTTGAACAATCTTTTGAAATCAATGTAAATTAAAAATCACTATTCTAATGATAGTATGAACTGTTTTGTTACATTAAAGGATAATTATGTGCGGCTAAAGTCTACTAACTGGATCTCCTCTTAGGCCTCGTTGTCCTGGGTTTCCAGGGTTTCCTCTGATACCTCTTGGACCCTGCAGTTTGAGCACAATGAAGATCATACATATGAATAAATCAATTAAATTACAACACTAAAGAGAGACCGTGTCATTGTTGATAAGTACAAAAAATAATATATGTAATGGATTTTACTGGGCTGCCTGGATCTCCTCGCTCTCCTGGGCTTCCTGATGCTCCTGTTACACCCTGAGAGGAACAGACAGATGTGGAATTTGTTTATCGACAGAAATGCATGACTTTCATATTGTGAAAATTCAGGGGAAACTAGATATTTAGATTTTTCTGAACAAAACGTGCAATTGTTAGGTTTTTGCTAAGTGGTTAATATACTGTATAATACATATTTTGTGAATAAACTTAATATAATAGTGAGACTGCCTTAGCGAGCATTTAAGATATCATACAGATATTATATATTTAAGATAACTTTTGTTTATTTTAGTTTGCATCATATCTATGTATCAGCCCTGGATTACTCACTGGATGTTAGAAGTGCACCATAATTTTCTTACCTGTTCACCATTTACCCCATCTAAACCATATTCTCCATCATCTCCCTATTAAAAAAGAAGATTAAAAGAGACTTACGACACTAATAAGTAATCAGCGGTTACATTACATTCATTAACAAGCCAAATGAAAGCGAATAAGAAAGGAGACAGGAACCCAATTTATATGCAACCTCATAAAAACAACAAAAACCACAGGCTAAAACAAACCTTTCCAGATGGCAATCAAAGACAGTAATCCAAACACAGATGCCGGCTAGTAACTGCTGTCTGACAATAATTAGGTAGAAACTTGTATGATGTATAAAGCTACAGTATCTTAAAGTTATTTTGCTCTCTCGTGTTCATGTGAACTTCAGATGTCAGTGTCCATATTCTTATGGATGTACTCACATTATCGCCTCTGTAGCCTCTGCCACCCTGAAGAAAAATAAACAAACAGCAAAAACTAAATGTTGCAGGTTTCAGCGCTAAAAAACACATTTAAAATTAAGTAAGAAAACACATAGCACTGCGTGTTACCTTTATGCCTCTTCTTCCAATGCATCCCTGATGTCCTTGAGTTCCATTCAACCCAGGAAGCCCTCTCTCACCCTGAAACACATATGTATTGTACATGAAAGTCATAGGACATCAGTATTTTAGTATATTCACAATATATTCAGATATTGAAAGAGCTTACTGTGCATTTTTATGCAAAAAGTGTTTTACACAAAAATTAATAGTACTTCTCACAAATACAGTACCAAGTTTGAGGTTGTAAGGTATCTCTAAAGTCTCTCATGCCCACTAAAATATACAGTAAAATGGTAATACTGTAAAATATTATTACAGTTTCAAATGACTGCTTCTATTTCAATATATTTTAAAATCTATTTTATTTCTGTGATGGCAAAGCTGAATTTTCATCATCAATTACTCCAGTCTTCAGTGTCACATAATCGTTCAGAAATCATTCTAATATTTATTATTATCAATGAAACGGTTGTGCTACTTAATATTTTGTGGAAACCATGATTAAGAAAGTTCAAAAGAACAGCAATTATTTGAAATATAATGAATTTATAACAATGTACAGTTCTTTGCTGCCATTTTTGATCAATTTCATCCTTGATGAAAAAAATATATTTTTTAATCTTACTGACCCCCAAACTTTTAATGGTAGTGTGTGTTTAAATAGCACATTCATATTAGATGATGACAACAGCCACATCATTGACCAAGAAAAAGTTGTTTTGTTCTACATTTAATCGTTAGAGTAAGATATATATAGTACTATGTAATGCATTTTCAATTTTTTTCCTTTTATTTTCTTCATTTTCAACATTATTTTCCTCTATAAAGCTGAACATTGTGTATTGTAAAAGCACTATTTCTACAATGACTTTGGTAACCATCCACACCAGTCCAAGGCCATTATCGTGTCGGGCCAGAGTAACAGTTTAACATTATTACAAAAAAATGTGTTATCATGTTAAGGATACAAACACGACAAACACATTGAGGTCCAATGGCATTGTAAAGTAACTTGCTTATCACATGAAAGTTGATTTTGAAAAATGAAAATAAATTTAAACATAAAAATAAGTGTAAAATGAAGAACTTACAGGTCCTCCTTCTTCTCCAGGGAAGCCAGGAAGTCCCCTCAGTCCAGGTGACCCCTAATCAGCAGTACAGTGACAAATGAAACACTTATCTCCATTTTCAAATATTGTTCAGTAAATCTACGGTCCTAAATCTAATCACCTTCATCCCTGGACGACCATAATTTCCACGTGCTCCCTCGTGACCTGTGCATTTACACATCACATTACAGCACTCCCTTGAGGCAACTGTATCCTGCGGATTGGAAGAAAGTGCGAGAGTGAGAAACACTTGGCGGAAGGCGTTTTATGTTATAAAGTGACTGTTGATACCAAGTACTTGACACCCTGACATCTTTCTTCAGCACTCTTTAAAAACGCACAGCTGTTTCCCTTCCTCTTAGAGAGCCTCACACTCCCACCCACAGAAAGCCATTTGTTTACACAGCAGTCAAAACACTGTTGTGATTGATAAGGCAGCTAATGTACTTCAAATAACAATGTACTTGCATGTGACAAATAAGGCCCAAAAGTTCTCATAGCAATAAAATTGTGAAATACAAAGCCATTCCTCATCGCCATGATCCGATTCTCTCAAAGTCTCATCCTTTGGTCTATGATTTGGATATTTAAATTGACTTACAATCTGCTTCTGCATGACACTGCCCACATTCTGCATGCCGATAGAGAGAAGCTGCTTGTAGTGCATCCCTCGACCGAACTCCAGCCTCTGCAGGTCAGCAGAGTTTTTAAATCCTTCTAGCGCCACAGTCATCAATGCTTTTACACCTGTGAATGTCACAAAGGGAGTCTTAGTAAACATAATGTGCATATTCAACCTCCGTTGATTTGAAGCAGGCACATCTGTAACTGTAACTGCAGCATGAAGTGCAGTGTTTTAAAGAAACTCATTGCTGTTTAATCGTTGTACCACTGGTCCTGAGGCTGTTGACGGCAAGCAGAAGGTTCTCAACAGGCTCATCCAAACCATCTGTAAAGATGATGAGCACCTAGAAAGAAAAATCAAAGAAAAACGTTCTTCTCTGATGAAAAGACCAGCTTAGAACAACATAAAAATCTTTGTTGGTTCATGCTGGTTTATGGTGGTCAGTGCTGGTTCAATCAACCAACCAATCCATCCATCCATCCATCCATCCATCCATCCATCCATCCATCCATCTATCTCTCTATCTATCCATCCATCTATCTCTCTATCTATCTATCATCTCTGATGTATTTTTCAGATGTGCTGGTTTGTTAACTGCTGTTCTCACCTTTACATAAGAATTTGAAGCTCTGAACTTCTCCTCAAACGAGCGTAGAAGCTGGGTGTTGAATTTCAGAGATTGTGAAGTCTGAAGTGCCATCAGTTTTTTTACCACACCTTCATCGTACTCTTCGAAGGAAAAATCATCCAGCATCTTTCCATTACCATCGACCAATCGGAACCCTACATTGGTTTTGAGGGTTGGGTTGCGGATACAGCACAGGTTGTGCACAACTGAAACGTACCGGATGATCTCGGGAAGGTAGGACTGCAGCTTTTTTTGGTCTCTAAAGATTGACAGAGAACTTGAACTGGTGAGCGAGTTGTCAAATCCGATGCCAATGTCAATAGTACAACCTAAATAAAGAGAGACAGAATTTATATGTGATAAATTGAATGCTGTCAATGTTCTAATCACAACAATATGCATAAGTGAATAATTATATGCATATATTAATAATTATTGCCACGCTAAAGGTAATAAATAGCTGACATTCAAATTCTATCCTATTTTGCCTAATTTAATTAAAAGTGAAACGATTTTTAAAAATCAATTATTTTAAATGCTACAAGTTAATTTAGGCATCAGAACATTATAATGTGCAATATGAAAAATCTACATTTAGAGATTTGCTAAAGATTTCATTTAACAGTAAATTAATAGTTAAACAATTAGTGTTAATAAAGATTAATTTTAAGTGAGAGTTAGATGACGGGTAATCTGAAAGGTAATTTAAATGAAAAAAATATGTGAAATTAACAATTAATTATGAACATTTAATATCCAAAATAAAACAAAAATGATAAGTAAAAAAAAAAACCTCTAATATTGGCCAAATAACCAATATAGTACAAACATACTGTGGATTCCTAATTCGGTGTTAATCTTAAAGGTATATTCTAATTTATTTTCAGTTCTACAATTTAATATCACACATTTACATTTAGTCATTTAGCAGACGCTTTTATCCAAAGCGACTTACAAATGAAGACAACAGAAGCAGTCAAATCCAACAAAAGAGCAATACAATGCAAGTGCTATGACAAGTCTCAGTTAGCCTAACGCAGTACACATCCTATCCGGTGACCCGGCAATATAACTGAGCTGTGGCATCGAGACATCCCCAATTCCAATAACAAAGACGTTAATTCGACGACGTCGGAGATATTCGGCTGCTTCGTTCACACTGTCTGATGAAACGCCATCAGTGATAAGTACAAGATTCTGCGGTACGCCGCTCGCTGTGCGACTCCCTTTGCTCTCCTCGAAGAATTCCACAACGTTACCTAGAGCGTTTCCAATTTTTGTCCCTTCTCTAATTTGCGTGATTTGTCGAATTGCTGATTTCACCCCCTCCACATCTATATGCTCATTTAAGTAGAACTCCTTCCGATATGAGCTGCTGAACTGGGCTATACCAATTCTGAAAAGATCTGGAGAAATACGGAGCCGGTTCACAACATTTAGCAAGAAAGCAATCATAGTTCTCCATGACTCCTCGTTGATGCTTTCAGATCCATCAATCAGAAACACCAGGTCGGCTACCTCTATCTGGCATTCTGCAAGACAGAACAATCAGAGACAATCCTGTTCTAATCATGTTGATACATCTGACATCTAATTTGACTTTGAATTCTTAAAGTCTGAAACAAAAGCTTTTACCTGGTTTGGTTGCATTACAAAGCACACTGGAGATGTTCTTCTGCAGTCCTTTAAGGCCCTCGTAATTATCAACATGGAAGATTTTGTTTTTGTTCTTGGTAATGATCTCCAGCTCACTCTCTTGAGCTCTAGCCACTCCAATTCCATACACATTTATACGTTTGTCCGCAAACTCACCAGCCCGTGCACGTAAATTTTCTCGGTCTCTAGCATCACCATCCGTAATTACGAACAGCATTTGAGGGATGCCCCGTTTCTGGCGCCCACCATTCTCTTCTTTGAAGTAATTGAGTGAGTATCCAAGAGCCTTAGCCGTGTTTTCGTTTCCAGTTGGGGACTTCAAGGTTTCTATGGCCTCAACTACCTGACGTTTATTGTTGTACTGGTTTAAAGAAAATTGATTTGGAGTGCCTGAGTAAACAATAACGCCAAAGCGAATTAGATTGTCCCCAATCTGTGTGCTGTTCACCACGGAGATTAAAAAGTTTCTAATGTTTTCAAAGTCTTGAATACGAATCCGTCTGGTGCACTGCACCAGGAAGATCACATCAGCCAACTGCTTGCCCGGACAATCTACAAGTAATATGAGAAAAACGTTTATTAATATTCTCCAAGTACTAGTGCTTGCTTGATACTGGTCATATCTACAGTATGTTGTTCACAGCAATACTTTGTAGTCAACCAACATGTTTGCATTTGAATAATTTTGGGTGACTAACAGGAAGCAAAATTGCTATTCAAGTAAGTTAATTCACACAAAAATTTAAATGGCCCCATGATTTACTCACCCTAACCGCTAACTGTCATACGCGTGTACACGAGAGAGTGGCGTTATAGCGAATTGCGTAGGATGTAGGCATAGCCTAAGCTCCGGTGAGAAGTGACAAACGCAGAAGTTCAGAGGGGAGAGTAAAAGAAAACACCGGTCACGAATTAGAAGTACAAAACGAGGATTTGTAAAGGAAAACATCAGAGGATTTCGATATAATCCAAGAGGAGACTGGTTTTCCTTTGCTGTAAACGCCACTCTCTCTTGTATGCGCATACAACAGTTAGCAAAAGCTAGAGATTACGATTTATAAAGTTTTAAATATGGATATTTTTCTAACACAAATGCATCGCTTTGCTTCAAGAGGCCTTTATTAACCCCTTTATTAACTCTTCAAGTAAAATTGTGTGCAAAACTGACCTATAGAATTTACTCTAATGTAACGTCTTTACTTTGGAAAAATTCAAATTCAAATTTACCAAGGGTGGCATTTTGCAGAATGCCTTTGCCTGTTGAATTTTTTGGAACTATAAATCAGTACATTGAATTTCAATTCAACTTCCTGCAGAATTCACAATTCAACTCATGAAATGAAAGACAGGACCCTGTATAAACAACATCCAAAACACAAAGCTGATCTTCTCAACAGTGATGTGCTGTAAACGTGGCATACATGAACATTTTAGGAATGTTTATGATTCACCTGTTTCAGGGCTGCAGAGCTTGAATTGGAGGTTTTTGTCAATGGACTGAAGTGCATCAAAATCCCTCTCCACGTACACTTTATCTCGAGTTCCACTGATCTCCCAGAGCTGTGTGGTGTTTACACTGCCCACACCTATTGAGAAGATGGTCACACCCTTGTCTCTGATGGCCTTCGCGGGTACAGCGACAGCATCATGAGCTTCCCCATCTGTGATAACTACAAGGAACTGTGGAACATCAGGCCGACCGCCGTTGGATTTATCAAAATACTTTGAAATGAATGAGAGCGCTTTTCCAGTGTATGTGTTTCCCGTTAGCTGTGTAATGCTGTTGATCGCTTTCGCTACTTCATCTTGGTTGTAGTACCTATTCAGTGGAAACTGCTCCTGTGGATTATCGCTGAACTGGACCACCCCGATGTGCACATTATCTTTTTCAATGACGGTACCATTTACAACTTTGGTAATAAACGTCTTCATTGATGTAAAGTTTAGGCTGTAAATGCTAGAAGAGCCATCAATCAAAAACATGATATCTGCCACTTTGTTCTTGCAGGCTAAAGAAAGTAGAAGAAAAAATCCAGTAAATACATCTAACATATTCAAACTTAGAAATAAAATCTTTACGCTACATTACCATCCAAAAGTTTGTGGAATTTAAAGAATTTTCCAAATGTTTTTGAATGCTTACCAAGTAAAAACAGTAATATTGTAAAATATTATTATAATTTTAAATAACTGTTAACTATTTTAATCGATTTCAAAAATGTAATCCTGTTATGGCAAAGCTGAATTTTCAGAAGCCATTACTTGAGTCTTCAGTTTCACAAGATACTTCAGAAATCACTCTAATATGCTGATTTGGTGCTCAAAAGTTTATTATCATCATTAATAATCTTGGGGAAAATTGCAGTTTAGTGGAAACTATGGTAGTTTTTTTCCCAGATTCTTTGATATATAGAAAGTTCAAAAGAACAGTGTTTATTTGAAAATGAAATATCTTTTGTAATATTATAAATGTTAGTGTCACATCAGTTTACTGTGTCCATGTTGAATAAAAGCATTGATTTCTTTCAAAAAAAAAAAACTTACCTCAAACTTTTGAATGGTAGTGTATCTTTAACAAGCATTTTAATGTTTTCAAGTTTTTCTAAATGTATGTTGTTTTAAACCAGACAAAAACATGGATTTTTTTCAGTATATGTATTAGTCTTACCCTCTTGTGAACAAATATCTGTGATAATTTCGTTCTTGAGGGCATTCAGAGCATCATAGTTGCTCACATAGAACTGCTTAGTTGCGTCAGCCGTCATTCTCAAGAGCTCATCCTGGTTGGCATCCCTTAATCCAATGGCATAGACTGAAACACCTTGAATCCTCAGCTCTGACGCTGGTTCACTCACCTCATCTTGGGATTCCTTATCAGTAATGACAATGAGAATCTCCTGAACCCTAGCCGGACGGGATGCTTTAGCCTGACTAAAGAGACTGGCCACATAAGTTAGTGCTTTGCCTGTCTCTGTGCCTCCATAGGGCTGAATGATGTTCTTCACAGCCCCTTCTAAGGAGACTCTGTTTTTGTGCTCCGTCAGGCTGAACTGTAAAGTTGGATCACGATCGGCTTTCACAACTCCCACACGAACTTGATTGGGTCCAATGTTGAATAGTTGCAGGAAGCCCAGGATAAATTCCTTCACATCTTCAAAGTCGGCACGAGTGCTGCCAGAGTGGTCCAACAGGAAATAAATATCGGCTTCCTCTGTGTTCACACATCCTAAAAGTGAGGATTGAATTACAAGTACTGTACAAGAAACTATAAGCAGAAACCAAAAGCAAAAATAACATACTAAATTAAAGCATAACATATTCAGCACAAGCTCTTTAAATTAAGGGTATTATGATGTTAAAATAAAAATAAAGTCTAAAAAATGTATGGAAAAGAATACAAAGTAATACAATTATTATGAAAAATATTATCATTATGTAATCATTTCTCCTCAACTATTACATAAAGTGGCTGAAAATTTCATTAAAAGTTATGAGGCAAAAAACATCATGCTGAATTTAACTAAATATAACTAATTTATCAATCAATTACTTGAAATAGTAGGCCTATGTACTCCCTCGACAATATAGGAAGTTAATGATGTTTTTGACTCTTTTAACACATTTCCTACATTGTTTGTTGCTTTTACCTTGTTTTAGGATGAATCTATTGTTCTTGTCAAAACCTCTATCGACCACAACCTTACAAAGGCTCTTTCTGAGGCTTTTCTCCAGCGAAGTAAGCATCTGAAAACTATCCACATTGAACACAAACTGCCGTTCAGGGTAAGATCCTATTTTTTGGAGCTCCTCCACACTAGCATTCTTCACCCCGAGGGCATATACAGTGACTCCTGAGCGCCTCAGCTCAGCAGCTGGGGAGGTGACATCATCTTGTGACTTGCCATCAGTGATGACGACAGCTATCTGCTTAACACCGAGAGCTTTCCTGCTGCCCCTCCACTTAGTAAAGAGATTGTCCTTGGCAAACTTCAGGGCCGCACCAGTTGCAGTTCCTCCGCCTCTGTATGGTAGGATTTTAATATAGTTCAGAATATCTCTCTTGTTAACGAAACTGTCCAAGTAGAATTCAGCACTAGGTCTGTCATTGTAAAGAATCATTCCCACCCTCACACTGTCAGAGTTCACCTCGAGGCCACTAATTGTGCGGTGGAGTAAACGTTTCACTAGTTGAAAGTTGCTACTGGTGATACTACCCGATTCGTCCACAATAAACACAATATCCGCCACTTGGGCTGATGTGCAATCTGTTCAAAGACAATAAAAAATATATTAATATAGGTTAACAAGTGGAAAATACTGTGGTAAATTTTAACAGTAACAATTATCACAAAATTACACATTTTATTAAAATTATAGTTGTATATTACGGTGTACACTGCATGTTTTTTTTAAACAAATGTGACCCTGGACCACAAACCCAGTCTTAAGTCGCTGGGGTATATTTTTAGCAATAGCCAAAAAAACATTGTATGGGTCAGAATTATAGATTTTTCTTTTATGCCAAAAATCTTTAGGATATTAAGTAAAGATCATGCTCCATGAAGTTATTTTGTAAATTTCTTATCGTAAATATATCAAAACTTAATTTTTGATTCGGAATATGGATTGCTAAGAACTTCATTTGGACAACTTTTAAAGGTGTTTGATTTTTTTGCACCCTCAGATTCCAGATTTTCAAATAGTTGTATCTCGGCCAAATATTGTCCTATCCTAACTAACCATACATCATATATAATGTCTATATATAATATATATATATAAATGTCAATTTCAAAAAATTTACCCTTATGACTTGTTTTGTGGTTCAGGGTCACAAATAAGGTTTTCAGTTTGTTTTACTGGCTCTTATTCATTTTGCTAAACAAGACAACAATATTAAGCTCTCTGCTGCCCCCTTAAGCTCTGGAGTACAAATGGTGTTTATGAGATGTTACAACAGATTGACTGATATGCAACATATGTTAATGCTTTTGTGAAAAAAATCAGCGTTTGAGGTCAATTATGTTTACTATTTGGTTGAATTGCAAAACTTGGCTTGTCATGATCTCAACATAGCAGCCACCATGAGGGTGGTGAGTGACCCACCTTATGTAGATAAAACAGCTTCTCTGTCACGTATATGACTGTAGTCATCATCTCATTGATTTTAATCAAAAATATTATTCATATCTTGTGTCAAACTTACTTAATGCACCTTAAAGAATATATAATTCATAATGTGCTGTTATGTCGGTATTGTTCGTAGTTCAAATAAAGGCAAACTAACCTCCTGTAACATTGAAAACTTCTGTTTCCTGAATTCGTTTTGTGATATCTGCTGCAACATCAATGATATTCTGATCAACCTGGAAAGTGCGTAGCGTAGGTGACAGGTAGCGTAAATTTGCTTCCAATCTGATATCAATAACAGTCACATCCTCATTCTTCATTGTTCTTATGGCCCTCAGAGTGGAGTCGGAAGAGTTCCCTTTTCTCAGTACCAGCAGATACTGCTTGTAGCCTTTAGCAATTCTGCTGCCAGACGCCGTGTTAAGAAAGTGAGTACGAACATAATCTATGGCCTGTCCTAATTTTCGCTCTCCATTGGGCCTGGGCTCGAACCGATTTATGTACCCTCTGGCTTTTTCCGTTACTTTGTAGTCATTAAACAGGAACTCCTTGACGACGTTCTCTCCAAATTGAGCCAGTGCGATCTTATGAGATCCATCTCCCACATTGAGCTGCACAGCCAGTTGGTTGAGAAGTTCCCTTATCTGCTGTGTTTCTCTCTGGGCCAAACTATCCACCAGGACAAATACATCAGCAAACCTTGGGGCAATGGCTGAAACAGACACAAAATGAATAATTGACAACTATTTTATATATTTGCACATATAAATACATGAATATTCAACATATTACACAGTTATTGCTTACAACTTAACCAGCAGTGATGGTCATTTAAGATAAAAGTTAGTAAGAAGCCATTCACATATAATGATTTTAAAAATACAAGACACAGGGCAGAACTCTTTTCAACTTCAGCAAGAAAAAGCTGCAAAAGACATGAGGCATGAGTGCAACAGTCGTTTTTTGGCATTTTATATGTACTCAGCATGAGCATAGCTCAGCTTAGACTAAAAAAGCAAATATTCATCAAGATTCTTCAACATGCTTGATATAAATTTCATTTCTTTTCTTTTCTTTTCTTTTGTTTCTTTCTTTCTTTCTTTTGTGGGTGTTTGTATTGTCGATATACAATAACAGTTAGTTAGTAACATCACTGATGTACATTACATAATAATAAACAGCACATACAATTATTAAAACTTGAACTAAAAATAAAAGTAAAGCTTCAAAAAAAATTAAAAGCTAATTCAAATATAACTGTATATAAATCGTATTGAATAACACTGTACCAGGTGTAAACAGTTATCTTGCTTGATCACTTGTGATTGGATTGCCAGAGACAGATTCAGAAATCAAGTGTATACTGGTTTGTTGACTTCTGAACATGGTTTTTAAAACTTAATTTACCTTTCCCCTGATCCCTCATCAAGATACACACTGTCTCCTTCATGGTGGTCGTCAGTCCTTGCAGTGCTTGGTAATTGTCAATATTAACCACAAAACGCTCAGGTGGTCTGTTGGCGATAGCCTTTAACTCAGTCATATTCGTTGGACCAACACCAATGGCAAAGATGATAATACCCTTCTGTCGCAGATCTTCAGCAGGTCCTTTTATATCATCGGCTGAGTCTCCATCTGTGATCACCACAACAATCTGAGGCACTTTTACATTGATACGGCTTCCACCCGCACTCGTGAAATAGTTGTCCTTAAGAAAATTCATGGCTTTTCCCATGTATGTGCCTCCTGTTCGGTATGGAAGGTTATCTATTTTCTTAAACAGCTCCGCTTTGTTTGCATAGTCCCCTATCAGGAACTCTTTGCGGGGATCGGTGCTGAACCGAGCAAGGCCAACTTGTACCTTTTTAGTGTCAATATCCAAACCATCCACGAACGTGTGCATGAACGTCTTAACATCCCGGAAGTCTCGAGTACTGATGCTGCTAGAACTATCCACAAGGAATACAATGTCATATGATGGATTTTCATCCAGGCATCCTATCAATGATAGACAACACATGACAATTAAGACATGTATAAGTGTCATAAATGACACAAATATACACTACTGTTCAAAATTTGGCGGTTGGTAGGATTTTTTAATGTTAAGTCTTTTATGTCATCAAGGCTGCATTTATTTGATTAAGAATACACTAAAACAGTAATAATGTGAAATATTATTTCAGTTAAAAAACAACTACTTTCTATTTTAATAGATATTTTTTAAATGTAATTTATTCCTGTGATGGCAAAGCTGAATTTTCAGCTGCAATTACTCCCGTTTTCAGTGTCACATGATCCTTCAGAAATCATTCTCAAAGATGCTGATTTGATGCTCAAAACACATTTTGAAAGAGTTGTGCTGCTTAATAATTTTTTGAGGGAAACATGATTCATTTTTTTTGATGAATAGAAAGAATAGAATTTACTTGTTACAATTTAAATCTGTACTGTCACTTTTAATCAATTAAGTGCATTCTCCTTGCTGAATATATGTTTTCTTTTTATTCAAAATAAAAATCTTACTGACCAAACTTTTGAACGGTAGTATATAAAATCAAAAATCCCAATACAAACTATAAATACAATAAAAAATAAAAAAAAAATAATAATAGACAATTGCTCAAAAACACTAAACACACATAACATTCATCATCAATAGTATCAATAACATTCATTTTCTGTGGGCCATGTTAAAATAAAAATCCATATATTATTTAGGAAATTGTTCATTTTCAGTAAATTAGACATGGCAAGTATTTGTCTGGAAGGTGTTTACCTGTTTGCTGTGCAGTGCTTACAAGGAAACATGATATAATGATTAAACCAGAAAGAAATGTCCGTATCTTCCCCATTGTCTGAGCACGTCCCGAAGACCTTAACAGAAAAAAAAGAAATCATTTTAGCATGATATTTCCAATAAATTTAGTATCACCTGATACTAAACCTAATTTGACCCCTAACTTGAGCAAGACGCTCCTTACACCAGTGGATATCTGGCTTTTATAAAAAGTGAATAAAAAATATATTTAAAAAAAAATTTTCAAGTAAAAAAAATACATCAGAAAGATACAATTATTCCTAAAAATACATATTTTAAACAAATAACTGAAATGAGTCTGTCTGTTTGTCTGCTACCAAATGAACTAAAAACATAGCAATGACCAAATAAATTAGCTACTACAGTGAGGCAAACAAAAGGGTTTCTTTTTTCCTGTTTGAGTTGGAATGACAGCAGAGAGCATGTTTCACACACAGACCAGCTGTGAAATTTAAAGTAAATTGTGGGCCTGTCTAAACCCTCAAGCGCTCATAGCCCAAGACCCCAAGACCCCAAATCTTTCATGTGGTGAGAAGAAAGGAATTCCAATCTGTTCCTGGCATGAAGAACACAACCTCTCAAAGACAGGACCCAACAACCACATAAATGTTAGACTTCCCGTAGTCCCATGTAATGTTTTCAGTTGCTAAGATTTTTTCTTATTTTGAAGAAAAATAAATGCAAAATGTAATGAATGTTTAGACCATTCCTATCCTTTCTGGGAAGCCACACTCTGAATCCAGATGGTAGCAGTGGAACCAAACAAAATTTCATGATTGCAAATAATGATTGTTTGAAAACAGGTTTCAAACATTGTCCCTTGTCTGCCATTAATCAAATAACAAATATTTCTACACTAAAAGGAATAGTTGACCCAAAAATAAAAAATTGCTAAAAATTTAACCTCAGGCCATCTAAGCTGTAGATGAGTTTGTTTCATAATTGGAACAGATCTGGAGAAATTTAGCATTACATCACCAATGGATCCTCTGCAGTGAATGGGTGCCGTCATAATAAGAATTCAAACAGCTGATAAAACATCACAGTAATCTACATGACTCCAGTCCATCAATTAACGTCTTGTAAAGTGACAAGCTGCATGTTTATAATAAACAGATCCATCATTAAGATGTTTTTAATTTCAAACCACTGCTAAAATATGAGTCCTCTATCCATAATATTGCTTTCTCCAGTGAAAAAGTTGCCTAATCTGAATCAGGAGAGAAATATGCACAAATCAAGCACCGTTTACAAGCGAAAACAGTTCAATACAGTTCTAAGCAACAGGGAATGAACTTTTTCACTGGAGGATTGAAGAAGAAACATTCTGACGGCACCCATTCACTGCAGAGGATCCACTGGTGAGCAAGTGATGTAATGCTAAATTTCTCAAAATCTGTGAAGAAAACAAACTCACGTACATCTTGAATGGCCTGAGCTTGAGTAAATTTTCAGCTAATTTTCATTTTTGGGTTAACTGTTCCTTTAACTCATGCCACTGGTTGACAAAACTTAATGGGCTGGGCGGCATAGGAGAGAGAGATAAAGGTCAATATATTTTGTTATTTTTCATTAATCAAATTCAGTCACATTCTTCTTTGCCTTCCACAAGGCAATGGACACATCTGTATCCGCTTGCTTCTCTACATTCATGTTTTTGAGAGATACAAATGTCCTATGAATAGAAAGTTACACATGTGCCCGTCATCCCAAAGTAGGAGCTCAAAGGAAGTCACATCTAATCTGTATTCTGCTCGTTTGCTCTCATGTTTAATAAAATGGTCTTCTATAATAGAATCACACATGAGAGACACATGGAGCCTATATCTGTTTCAGGCACTCTAACAGAACAACTTGCTCTATTACAAAATTATTTCTAACACAACTCTTTCATTATATTAAGGCTTTACCCATTGACAAGCTTTTATGTCTTGTGTTTCACAATGCTATTACTTCCTATAGGCAAACCTAGGCATGCAATATTATATGTACTTTTTACTTTGTTGTTTGTTTCAATTGAAGTTATTTGCATGTGCATCCCAAATAATTTCTTTCAGTAATTCTCCAGCATCGCGCCGCCCCGGTTTATTCATTTATGAGCTGCTCAGTTGAGTTGGACGGTGCAGTTGCTTTAATGTGGTCTGCTGTTCTTGAAACACTTTCAGTATAAAGAATAGAAAAATTGAGAACATTTCCAACAGATTAAGGTTTTAATAAAAGAAAAAAGTTTTTTCAACACAAAGGCAAAAAAAATTGTAATTTTGATTTTTCAGAAATTATTCTAATATGCTGATCTGCTGCTCAAGAAACGTATAATTATCAATGTTTCAAACAGTTTTGCTGCTGAATATTTCTGTGATATCAAGCAGTTGTCTTTTTTTCTGGATTCTTTGATGAATAGAAAATTTTGATAAATTTCGATCAATTTAATATGATGAATAAAAAAAGTATTCATTTCTTTCAGTAAAAAATATTGTTGACTAAACTTTTGAATGGCAGTATATATAAAAATACTATCTGACTGAATTTTTGTTTATTTGACTAATTTATTATTATCACTATTATTATAATCATCATTATTTTACTATTTAATTTAAGTTTCATTAAATCAGCAAAATAAAATCTGTACCTGTTTAGATTCCATTATCATTTTGTCGTAGAACTGCTTAAATTCATTGCAAACTGTGGCAACCAGGATTTTATTCTTCTCCCACATTAAACAACACCCCAGTACAGGATGAAAGAAAATGGGTGGCCCACCCCTGTTCTATGCCATTAAAAATGTCAACAGTTTTGATAAAACAGATTTGGACAGAAAAAAATAATAATATCCAAACTTCCCAAAAGAGTTTTAAACCCTTAAGCCAGAACCAACTGAGTGAAAAACTGTTGTGAGGCCCATATGTTTAAGGGTAACAGGAAAGGTGGATCAAATATTGTGCACATGGAAGTAATTAAACTGTGAAGAGAGAGTTGACTGATTGAGAAAACCAAAACCAGAGGCCATGACATGTCACTGAGGCATATCTTTGCATGCGCGTTTATTTCATAATTGTTTCCTGCCTTATGATTTCAGAGATCAGACCATGTTTGACACAAATATTAATAGGACAACATTTAAATGAATAAAGTAAGTAAATCATCTAATGACCATAACATTCCATGAATCTGAGCAAATGAAAGCCTTTAGACACAGCTAAGTTATGATTATTTATTTCTTAAAAGTAAATGACTGATTACAGCACAATCTTCTAATTCTAATAATTTACTGATTTTAAGTCAGAAATTGATTTTGGAGATAGGTAAAATGCTACTAGCATGCATGACAACAAAGGAGTGTGGAAAATAAACATCGGCACACAAGCGATAAGAGAGAGACAGGAATATCATGCCATTCAGTTATAGTAATATAATATAAATGGTAAGGATGACAGTACAGAGAATATACCAAGAAAAAATCCCAATCTGGACTTTGACTAGAATTGTATTCAACAATGGCAAATGTTCAAGTGCTGACAGACACCATGTGGCAATGCACACCACATCTGATAAGGTAAACATACGCCTTTGATGCTCTCTTCTAATTACTCCCATTTATTTTGCATACTGACCATGTCTATAACACAGCTGCATATGTTGCATATGATGTAAACATCCCATGGTACTATGTTTTTTATATGATCAAGCATGATGACAGCATAGAACATATGGATCTGATCACCTCTAACTCGAGCTCCAGATGTGCAAATTAGTTGGCTTTTAAAATCCCTAAACCCAAGAGCAAATTTTTGGCCTACATACACCAAATTAGCTAACTAACACCTTAGAAACCCTTCTGAACTCCTTAATTAATTAAAAAAAGACCTTCATGACTGTCAGACTTCAAGGCATTGCCAAACCATTCACATTTTGACTAGATACAATTTCCGTTCTGTTAGTTTACCAGACGCTCTAAAACTGTTCTTTCACAACTGCTTTATGTGCAATTTAATCGCTGTAAAAATGAAGAATATAGTTCATATGTGAGGAGCTTAAGTTGTGTGCCTCCGCAGGAACTGTTGCAACAACACTGCATTTCCCCCTCATTTCCAAACCAGACTAGGCCCTTATCTGATTGGCGACACTGTATGCAAGCCTTCAGGGCTGAAGGAAATTCCTGCTAATGAAATGGCATATCTCAGACCAGTGAGACCACTCCAGAACAAGCAACGAATCTATCATATTCATGCAGGCATGGAGAAAAAGATGAGGACGTTTTAAACAAATACTTACAATAGGCATAGCCACCCAAAACTGAACAAATTGTGCCTACTTATTCAGCAGCTTTTTGTAGTATATTCCCAATTCATTTGCTACATTTCTTATTTCAGGAAGCGTTTATTTTAGACAGACGACTACATCTTGTTAGCCCAGTTTGCCCCTACTGGTAGACACTCGTAATGACACCATCTGTTTGTAAGTCGCTTTCTTCAGTGATGACCATAAAAAAGTTGCTGTGTAAACAAAATGCAAATATTTATATTATAGTATATTTTTACCAGTTCTATTTATTTATTTATTTAGTTAGTTAGTTAGTAAATGTAGCCTACTATTTTCCCCTTATCATTACTAGACCTACTTTTCACGTCATAAATCAAGATTTGCACACTTTTAAGAGACCTCAAAAAACAGGCCACTAGTTTAACAAAAATTCTATAGGCTACAATATTATAACGAAATAATTTATTTTGATATATGACTTGCAAAAATACATTAAATAAAAAAATTACATTTAAAATTAAACGTAAATGTAAAATGTAATTTAAAATTCATTTAAAAATAATGTTTGTCAGAAAATGTGCATAATTATTTGCATCTATGTGAAAGGAGACACGTTTAACTGTTAAAAAATATCGTTATCACCACCATGATTATTATAATAAAGTAACCTTGACACATTTTTAAACACAAAATGCAAGAAGAGAGCTTTACTTTGATACAAACCAGTTTCCAAATAGGCTACTTTAAAGCCTCATATTTCTAGCAGTTCTCTCCAAACACTTGCAGAACCACCCATATCTTATTATAATAAAAACACACACAACATTAATTTTCAGCAATAATGAAAGCAATGCCTCTGCATGCAAGAATGAAGCGTGTGCACTTACTTGTACATCTGTCAGAGCGCGAGACAAAAATCCCACCGCACGAGCGTGTCTGTGCATAGACCGTGTGACCACTCCTCACTGAACCCCCGCCCCCGCCGAATATTCATTCTTTTCGTGAATTTTAATGTCTACTAAGTTTCTGAATATAGTTCAATGCATTTGGAAGATTGTATCGAAATAATATTCTTTTTTTAAAAATTGTTAAAAACGGAGTCATCTGTTTGTGTGTGTGTGTGTGTGTGTGTAATATACATGGAGAGAGAGAGAGAGAGAGAGAGAGAGAATCATTATATAACTTATAGGCTATAGATTTTTTTTTAATTGGCCCATTAAAGACTCTATAGACCCCATGAAATCAAAATGGCCATTTTTTGGCTTGTAATCCATGTGTGTCAGCAAATCATTGTGAAGGACTTGTTTTAAAGCCCTTCAGTATATCCAACATTGTGCTGTTTGCTCAGATCCAGCTGCATTTACAGATTTCTGTGCAATGAAAGACAACAAGAGTGTTTAGAAGACTGCTAGGAATATTTAAGATCATTGTTAGCATAATGCTCTTGACCAGTGCATGTTACTTGTTTAGCACATTATAAAAAAGATGTGCAGAATTAATATATTATCTGCTGACACAATAATGAATGGATGAACTTTTCACCAAGGACCACATTTTTGTTAAATGACAAAACAGTCTTTGCCTCTCACACTCCCCAACTTTAGCCATATATCTTAGGAACAATCCCAGACAACCACACATGGGCCTTCACCTCAAGCTGTGCTGGCTTTAGTCAACTCCCAAACCCAGCCCTGGAAGTTATCTTGAAGCAATGTAGAATCAAACACTGGTGACTATCAAAAAAGTGCATGGATCCCCCAAGAAAGATGTCAAAAAGACCTGACTGATTTTAAATTGTAATTTTGGCCACACATGGATTTTACATGGCATGACCAAAGTACTACATACATGTCTGCACTTTACTATCCCTTGTGTTAAAGTAGCGATAACTCAGAACATGTGCTCTTTCTGTAAGGTGAGAAGACATCTCATACACATAGTCCACATACCATTACAGCTTGCTGTTTCAGGCAGCCCATTTACTTTTTTTTTAATTAAAGGAATAGTTCACCCAAAAATAAAAAATTGACACCCTCAGGCCATCCAAGATGTGGATGAGTTTGTTTCTTCATTAGAACAATTTATCATCACACCATTTGCTCACCAATGGATCCTCTGCCGTGAATGGGTGCCGTCAGAATGAGAGTTCAAACAGCTGATAAAAACATCACAATGATCCAGAAGTAATCCACACGACTCAATCAATCAATCAATTAACATCTTGTGAAGGAAAAAGCTTAGTGTTTGTAATAAACTAATCCATGAAGACATTTTTACCTCATCTAAATAAAGAGAGAAATATGCACAGATCAACCACCTTTTACAAGCATAAAAAAAGAAAGAAAATAATAATAATCCAAAACAGTTCTAAACAAAAATGTTGGTGTATTGTGATGTGAGAGGACATCAGAGGATGGACTTTTTCACTATAGGAAGCATTATTATAGAATACCGAATCATATTTTGGCCAGAAGTGAACGTTTAAAGGGGTCATATGATGCGATTTCATTTTTTCCTTTCTCTTTAGAGTGTTACAAGCTCTTGGTGCATAAAGAAGATCTCTTAATGATGGATTTGTTTATTACAAACGCACATAATGTTAATTGATGGACTGGAGTCGTATCAATTACTTGTGGGTTGTTGTGATGTTTTTATCTACTGTTTAGACTGATTCTGGTTTTCTCTGTTTTCTCTGATTCATGTTTTCTCTGGGATTCTTGGATTTTTACCTTCTTCTACAACTTAAGCTGTAGTTTTATATGGGAGCATGCTTTATAGACTGTAACAAATGCAGCTATGATGATTGCTAAATTTATTCACCGTGGACATTCTTGGTGAAAGAAAACTCAAATGTTGACTGAATTGTCAGCATCAGGTTTAGTTTCTGTGAATTATCCCAATAGATGTGTCAGACAAAGCTAAACAGAAGGGAACATTATGCAGAATTGGCCAGACAAGCAGGCTCTTCAGATTTGTTTTGGCTAATGCCTTTGGGATATTGTTTGTGGTTTAGTTATGGGTTTATGGTTCATATCATTACAAAACCATTATGAAGTCAAGTGTTTATGCAAATGTATGATTTAAAAACATCTTACTCCTGCTTTAAAAAACAAGAGTATCTAACATTATTATTTATCTTTGAAAGTGCAAGCCATTTCCCATTTTTTTTCTTTTGATACTGTATATACCTCAAAGTATTTAATTTCTAGGTGACTGTGAAAAGAATTGTTGTTCCAGGATCACAAAAAGAGCTGAGAGGGGGATGTGTCTTATATAACTCCATTCAGAGAGTTCCAATTACATCTGTGCAGCTGAGCAGATGTTTCTTCGTGATTGGGAAAGGGAAATTCTAAGCAAGTTTATAGTTCCTCAGAAATTATTTGAAACTAGCAGGGTCCCTGTTTGATTTCCATTATTTCAAATCTGGAAAGAAAAAACAATGTAGTGAGTAGAACATGCCATAACACTAACTGTACCAATGCCACTGGCTCAGTGCATAGTCAAAATAAATACTACACTAAAATCTTCAAAGCATTTTAAATTGTAAATTTGCATGCATTTGTAATCATGAACATATGCAACATGCATGTTCCTTGCTCTCAATGACATTATGTTTTATTAACAAAGTTTGGGAGGAGCATGTTCAGATAATCCACTTAAATAGCATGATAAATATTTATACATGTATGTTCTCTGGGTTTGGGCTACATTCCGAACTTGGAGCCCTCCCCTCAGACAGCACGGCAAATATGCTTACTGCTATATGCTCAATCTGATTAAGTGAATACTTATTTAAATATCAAGAACAACAAGCAAGAGCTCACTGATTTATGAAACTGACAGAGTTTGTTATAGACCACCAGTAGAATATTTTAGGAAGTTAAATCAGTTAGATAAAGTCATAAAATTATAAAACATCAAAAGTATAAATTGGGAAAAATTTCCTTTTTTTCCTCTGAGGCGGAAACAGGTTTAGGATAAAGGTGTGCAAAAATTCTTGTTATTCACTAAATGTACTAGTGATTTAAAATAGATCAGGCTTAATGCCTCTCCTCCAGATTTACGTTCTCTCCTGCATGCCATTTTTGGTCTTACATTTTTACTCTGGTACTAATCGAAATGAAATGTATTGTGATATAAAAGAAAACCTTGATTTAGGTTTCCTTTTTTCTTTTCCTAGCTGATTTTCCCCCCACAGAAACTAACACATTTCTTTCACTGTGGTTACTGCTAAATGTCAATATGGTCAAAACTGATGTGTTCATGTCTGTAGTGTGTGTCGCATATGTGCATGTGTACTAACCTCTCTCGTAAATGTGGCATTGGTCATATGTAAGTCATATAGTTGATGTTAAAAAGATTTGTTTACGTCAAGCTGTTTGCATATTTCTCTGGGTGTGCAACCGGCTCTCCTTTAACCACAACATAAATTCACTGCACTAAAAAAATGTTTTAAATTTTTTTTAGATAAACAACACCCAGTCCACCAGCTAATCATTGCCATATGAATGCTTATTTACATAAACCCAAACTTGATAGTAAAATGAAGAATATTAGAGTGTTGCAAGGACCTCTCTAATTAGTCTGTGATTCGTTTAAGTCTAGTTAAGGATCTGGGTTCAGTTCTCTTCAGTGTTGCAAGACTTACATGGAATCCAAAGTTGAGCAGTTATTAATCAACTCTTGAAATGTCTGTCAGTGTCAACCAATCACAATCTGACAATGTTGTAGCATAATACAGCAATAGGGCACATGAGGCCATGCTTTCCAGTGAAAGCACAGGCACTCTATGTGGCGTTCTAGGGTTTACCGTGGTGAACATCAATAAACAACACGCGTTATCGACACAGGTACTGTCAGCAATTTTTTTTCATCTAACAATATGCTGAAAATCATTCTACTCACCAAAAGATAACACTAACATATAGTGAACAATAAAATAAAAAGAGGCTTTGTTTAGCCAATCAGGAAGTGTTTCTGTCAGTCAAACGTTTTATTTAAATCTATGGAAATGCAAATCCCATAAAAATAGTGAAAAATCGCTTTATTACCACTTAGCAGATTTGGACTCATTTAGGATTTCCTTTTCAACTCACTGGATATTTTATACCTTTATAGTGTTTTTTGTACTAAAAACTAAACAAATTAAAGATGTTAGTGATTTTTAAATGAGTTGTTTTTGTAGAGTGAAAACAATAAATGTTATTTAAAAAAAAAATTGGTTAATCACATATAGGGATGTAATGATTACCGGTTTGACGATAAATCATGATAAAATTCCCCACGGTTAGTATTACCGTTTCATCTTTTAATTAGCATTAAAACCGTATTAGATTACCGCGATTTGAACAACTCGCGATAAATAAATACTGTCCAGCATAAAGCACAGTTTTAAGTAACAGTCTCACGTGCGCACAGCACACAGAGTAGTTTGGTTTTGAGTGAAAATAAGGCGGAAAAGCTGGGAGGTTTTAAAAGAATTATACAAATGAATATATGAATTAACTAATTATTGTACCTCTGAAGGTTCTAACTGTCTTCAGAAACGATTCGATGGCATTTGTTTTCATCTTTGCTCCATGTAATACCTAAAGGAAGTGTTCTTAATCGCAATACTGCTTTGTCCACGGAGGTTACTTGTTGATTTTTAAATATAAAACTTGGTGAAGAGATTTATGTGTCAGTAATTTTTGAACATCTCCAGCACATTTTAACAATACCGTGATGATACAGATAACCGTGATAATTTTGGTCACTATAATCGTGATAAGAAATTTTCATACCGTTACATCCCTAATCACATTAGTCAATCAACAGACAAATCATGTTATATTTTTTAGTAAGAACTTTAGGTAGCCTTTACCTTGACACATATTTTAATGTCATAACATAAAAGTGCCATCATATTGACTAGTCCACAATCTTCTGAATTCTTTTGAAACTTCTAAAAATTCAGTGGTTGGAGATTAAGATATTGAATTTACATCAATGAACAAACGTTCATCAGCAAGCACTTTCGGTTTTAATCTGCACACCTCTCTGCCATTAAAACACAGACAAGGAGCAGCATGGGGATCATGCTTGCAAAAAAGAAAAAAAAATTGGCTTTGTGATGATGGGATTTGAGAAACTCGTGGAGATGGATTTTGTCTGCCTTGTAATCCAAAGATGAAACTGCTGGTCTCTGTGTTGTGTTTTGTGGTTACTGTTTTGTTCTCAAGCACTCATGTTTTATATTCAAAGCCCAAAATGCAACACTAAGTGTCTGTTCATCATGCAGCAATTATTTGGATCATGCTGCTGTTCTTTGATGGACAATACTTTGTCTGTGCAAAAACTGATTATTCACACTGATATAACTTGGTTTCAACCTTTAATCAGACATGACAACATCACTGAAAAAACAAGTGACATTTTTAAGCTTTCAAATATTTCTCACACTGTAAAAAAAGTGTTTGTGCTGCCTTAAAATTTAACGTTTATTTAACTTGAAATGTTAAGTTGTACTAATGACAACTTGGATATTCGAGTTGACTAAACTTAAAAATATCAGTGTTTTGTATTTATTTTGTGCTACAACTAGTAAAAAGGAATAGATGTTTGGTTCACGTGCTGCTTGAACTGAGGAGTAGCAATCTGTCGCCACACATTAAAGAGCCACAAAATGGTATTTAAGGTTTGAATTTCATAAAAATGAAATCTGCGACTTTTTCCAAAAGTGACCTGCTCTGTCTTGTCTGTTGGTGTGTTGTGTCCTCTTATTTCCGCGATGCATTTATCACTGCATGAGAAAATTATTGACGTGTGAGAACGTCTCATCAGAATTCAGAATAATTTGGTTTGCAATATACATTCCATTGAGAAGATATTCAGACATTTTTCTCACAGTTTCTCACTGACAATAAATAAATTAAATAAATTAAATACTGTCTGGCAGGATTGTTTTATTTAAGATGTCAACATGGAAGTTTATTATCTCTCTAAACATTGTTCTCTGATTTATAGTTTTATTTTGTTGCTTTTGTGGCATGAAGAAACCCTCTGGACAAACTAAGAAACCAACAGTGGACAGTTCTCACATACAGTATGCATCTATTTTAAGATCAGTACGTTTACACACAGATTAGGCATTTGATGCAATTGTTGTTGTTAGTTTATTTGTGTAGGACAGTACAAAAATAATTTTTACTGAACATAAAAACAGGATAAACCAAAATATTATGAGTAAAAATACAGCCCTGGTTTCCTTCAAGCCAGATCTTACCCATCACTGCAAAAAGACTTTATATTATGTATTACTTTATGGCTGTAGCGGTTGTAAAATAGACATTGTGTCTGACAGCGGATTTCCTAGTCTCATAAAAGGGAATTGTAGCTCTCACTCAGAGATGAAAACATGTGAGGCAGACGATCCTAAAAATGTTTCTGATTTAGCAGTAGTGTCGGTGGTAGTAACTTCAGTTATTGGCATCAAAAATAATGATGTCTTCGACAAACATGTTTAATATAATGCTTTACCAGCTCCCTGCCATACAGCTAATAAACACTCAAATCAAATGACTTATGGCTTCTAGAGAAGAGTTTCTCTATATGGCATGAGGCCTTGCAAGACTGTAAAGGCCAAAATGAAGAAGATGTCATAATAATTAAATTTATGAAATGAATGCACTGCACATTGCTCGTTTATCTTACAGTAGTGTTTTTTATTTTTCTCTCCTCCCTTTTGTCCACCCCTTGTCAGCGTAGCGTTGTTGTTCACTGTTATTCATGGTCTGTCTTTCTTTTTCAGTCACTGCTTGCTGAGTGTCAAGTGTTTGTTTATGTTTAGTTCCTGTCTGCCCTTATTTGGTTCAGTTCCTGTTCTCATTTAGTTAATCATCATTCATTAGTTTCCACCTGTTGCATTAATCATCTTATTAATCCATCGTTTGGTTTTGTATAAATAGCCCTGCCTTTCCTCAGTTTCTTTGTCCTGTCTCTGTCATGTAAAGAGGTTGTTTTCTCCTGGTTCCCAGTGGTCCCAAGTGGCTTTATTAAAACTCTGTTTATTTGATATCTGCCTCCTCCAAGCTCCTTTCCACTGACAAACCGTGACAGAAGACAGGACCTACCAAGAAGATGAACTGGGCTGAAAACTTACTTTCCTCCATCCGGCAAGATGGTCGTCCTCTGGCGCGATATGTGGAAGAGTTTGTGGAATTCTCCCATCTGGTGAGTTGGAGTGATCGTATGCTCCATGTTTGTTTCCAGATGGGACTGGATGAGGGAGTTATTTGTTTCCTGTCTCCTGATCGTAGTTTGTCCTTTGAGTCCATTAATTTAATTCTCTGGCTTAATGGTTCTGATTATATTGTGGAAGTTAAGAGAAATACGAACAGGCCTCATCCTGTCTTATCTCATAAGCGATTTGAGCACTCCAACTCATCCCAAGCCTGCTACCAAAACCTCCACATCCCTGAACATTGGGATCATCTTCTTCGCTCCAGAGGCCACTCCCGTTCCAGAATCCGCTCCAGTCTTCAGACCAGTAAAAGTGTCGGCGCCAGTGCATGTCCCTGAACTTCTGAATATGGCGCTCCCTCCAGAGTTCTTGGCCCCTATCCTCTCGCCAGTGTCGGCTCCAGCCCCTGAGCCTCCTTCGTCTCCGCTGGTCCCGTCCAGCCCTCATTCGTCTCCTGAGCCCCCTGTGATCGGTCACGTGTTTGTTTCTGTCTGCCCTTATTTGGTTCAGTTCCTGTTCTCATTTAGTTAATCATCATTCATTAGTTTCCACCTGTTGCATTAATCCTCTTATTAATCCATCGTTTGATTTTGTATAAATAGCCCTGCCTTTCCTCAGTTTCTTTTGTCCTGTCTCCGTCATGTAAAGCGTTTTTTTTTTTTTTTTTTTCCCCAAGTGGATTAAGTTTATTTGATATCTGCCTCCTTCAAGCTCCTTTACTCTGGCAACCTGACACTGAGCAATTCCTGGAAATTTAGTCTTTAACTCCCTTATCAGCTTGCAAATTTCCTAACCCTGACAAAGTCTGAAAGTTTTTCTCTTGAACAAGTATCTCTTGTTTGTTCTTTTTGCTTTAGCCCATAATATATAGATTATCTTCAAGCCAGCTTAATGACTTCATACTCCAAATGTGTCTGATTGGATAATGTTAATCACTCAAAGTCTGGCACTGAGCAGTTCTCCCCTTTGCAGACTCCGTCTGCTGCAAAAAGTTACTTGGCAGTTGAAGGATAACCGTCTTTTCTAGCATCCTTGGCCTAGAATGTGATGTTAACACAGAAAATATTACAGCAGCAACTAACTATTTCATAGTTCCTTGGCATAAGATACTACAAATGACTTTCTTCTTTAAACCTGGTCCTGTTTAAACCCAGTAAACTTTTGTCATGGCCCAGCTGAGGGAATGCTTCCTGGATCACAGACATTATATTAACTGGCTGCTGTTGCCATTGCAATTTGTATTGTATTTGAAGATTTCCAGAATTTGGAAGTTTTATAGAGTAATTGAAGTTAATATCTAATATGGATGTAATGTTTGGATTTAGATCGGCCTGTAGGACATAAAGTGTAGGCTACAAGTGAGGCCAGGAATAGATGAATAATAAACAGTAATTTAATTTTGATGGATTAAAATAGCTTCGTCCCTAAATCAAAAATAAGATGGAAGGCAACTGTGATTCATTTAGATACTAAATATTTTTTATATATATTATATTTCATTTCTGAAGCTTGCTTGAATTGGTTGTAGATTACTAGCTCCGGATTGTTTTTGGTTCAAGGCCAAGGTTTCACACAGTCCTAAAATGATTTATCATGCAAAAGTTAATTTATTACGATTATTTCAATGTCCACCAGACTTGCCTTTAGTTTGAATGTTTAGTTTTGAAATGTTTGTGGGGGGTTTTGTGTTTTTTGATGTCATTCTTTTGGCTGCCACAAGTTCACTGCACGAAACAAATTGTGGGCAATATTTATTCTGGTCACAAATGAATTTGTATGTAATGTAGGCAATAGCTTTTCTTTTAACTTGTTTTTTTTGAGGATGAAGGAATGACATGCAATATGCTGGTTGCATTGCATAATTTAGCTTCCCAAAAGGAGAGATTAATTTGTGCCAAAATATTATCAACAGTGTGTTCTCCTCCCTTTTAAAATATTTAAGTCTATTTATTTTGCTGTCCTGCCCAATTCAGTTCATGTTTATTTGTATAGCACTTTTCACAATGCATATCATTTCAAAGCAGCTTTACGGAAAATGCATGTTTCAATGATACAATGTAAGGACCTAATGATGCAAAACAAATAATGCATTAAATCAAGAAATTACCTTTAATCTTTTTGAGACCCACTGAGCAGCCACAGTTGACTGAGTCAAGGAAAAAACAGTGAGGAAACTTTGAAGGGAATCAGACTCGCATAGGGCCCATCCCCCAGCTGCAAAATGATCTCATAACACTAACATTTCATAAGATATGACTGTAATATTAGGCTTCAAGATGGGTTATTTGAAAGCTTATGCTAAGAAATGTTATTTTAATGTAGATTTGATCTCAGTTCAGAGTTTAGGAGCTAAATATGAAAAAGCTCTACCTCATGTTTTTTTTTTTTACTTCGATATTCAGTGTACTAGATATTCAATAGTCCAGAGTAGTATCTGTTATATGGTTCGTAGCATTTTATTAAAATCTAGCATTGTTTTGCAGACTTACATGTGCTGTCTGAGCAGCACTGTTCTAGATCATTAGACATGATGTAATGTTTTTTTTTTTAAGGCCTGTCTGAAACCAATTAGGGGGCACCTTTACAAAATGTGCCTGTGAAGTCGCTGATTGACTGGGAAGCACAGCTGGACTTTTAGTCCTACATTTTATCACATTTTGGTACCAAACTACCAAATCCCACAACTTCTTTTAAATTACTTGCAAAACACTTTTTACACCATCCGTTTCAAAACTTAAACACTCAGAGAGCACCAGCTGGCAAGGAAAAAAACTGAAATGAATGTCTCTTTAGCCAGATGAATCTTGTTTCAGTTGCTTCAGGTTATATGCCATCTTTCTTGGGCTCTTGGGACACAACTGAGATTGCCCTGTATAATAACATCCCTCCATAGCCAAAAGAACAGTGAGAGATGAATGTTAACTGTGGCCAGCAACTTACTGTGATTCTTTGGAATTTTGCTCATGCACCATCTGGTTTTAAAACCACCAAGCAAGATTAGCTTTCATGAAGTAATGCCAAAGGGATAGTTCCTTTTTTTTCTGTGGAATACAAAAGAAGATATTTTGGTAACCGTCTTTTGGTTACTTGCTAACCAAACAGTTGGACTTCCATGGACAAAAACACTTCTATGTTCCACAGAAGAAAGGAAGTCATGTTATTATCACTGCATGTTATTATCTTTAAGATAATATTTCACTGGTATTTTGGCACAAAACACTTGGCTGAAATCATTGTTAGAACTTCTCTGTGATGTCAAGATGATAACACACATCAGTGATGCTCTATTCCAGATGTTCCAATTTCCTCACATGGATAAAAGTGAGTTGTGATATTTTGAGCTGCAGAACAAGGCTGAAAATGAGCTCTAAACATTTGTAGGTTATGTTTTCTCAAAGCTGAAAAGAAATTGATGTAGCAAAATGAAACACTGAAATAGGGTTAGTGTTTGATGCACTTGAGAGGAAATTTTCCATGTAACAACTTAAAGGCTGCACCTAATTCTAGTAAGAGATTAAGCTCTTTTGATCATAAGATTACTCGGTTAACATCCACTGCGGAAATGAGTTTCCTTTGTTTACTTAAAGGATAAACACTGAAAAAGGAAACTTCCCTTTATTTACATTTCCAGTTTATAGTGATTAGATTAAAGACTTTAGTGTTTTCTGTCTGCAGTTCTAATAAAGTAGAAATCCATCATTGAGAGATTTAATAAAAAAGATTAGGAATAATCTCGAAACCTCCCTTTCTAAAAATACTCTCAAATCTTGAAACTCAGCTTAGACATTTAACCTTATTCAAAGTTATGTTAAAATCGATACTGCTTTAACCCTCTGGTGTTTTGGTCATTTTGGACCGGGGAAAATTTTTTTTAGAATATTTAACAATCGCTACTTCATCGGAATGGTATGAAACTCAGTGACTTTTGTGGCAGTTGCTATGTGACCACAAAAAAAAATGTATGGACTTTATTCGAAAAAGCGAAATGGTCTGTTGTTCGCGGTCAAAAATGACCATCACAATGAATGGGAAATATGCAAAAATACGAAAATACATAGAATTTTTTTGTGTGTACAATCTATAAATCATTCACGATGCAGAAAAAGAGTGCACTGCAATGGAGTGACACTCTAAAATATCATGAGTGCAAAATAGACACACTCCACCCACCCCTCCCCCTATAGGCACACATACTATATGAACTAGTGTGACTGTAACACAAAGCATGTTTTTGCAAATGCGTGAAATAAAAATAATTCATCCAAACATGCAGTCAAAACACAGACACCAAGGAAGGGGTTACACACTAAAACATCAAGAGTACAAAACAGACGCACACACACAACACACTATTATACACACAAATGAACTGGTGTGGCTGTAACAATATGGCAAAATTGAGCCAGAAGACTCAAATAAGAGGTTGAAACCAGATTGATTAATCTCTGATAAAACATTCCTGTTCACTTTTGTTGCATTTTTGTTGAATTTTGATGTTGTGTAACAAAATGTCATTCTCTGTGTTCGAGTTTGACTGTAGTAAAATTAGACATTTGACATTAAGACTGTAGACATTTCAAACCAAACTTTCAAACAAATAAAAATCTAAACCTTTACAAAAAGTTGTCTTTGAGAATGTCTAAATATATATCCAAATCCACAACTTAATAAAATAAGTCTTTAAGCCTTTTATATAGAGCTATATAGGAATCTAGTGGCTAAACCATGAAATTGTAGATGTTTTCTTTTTTTTACTCCCACCAGATGGCACTAATCTGACTTCAAAAATTGGATTTTAAAGGCAATGGGCCTCATTTACGAAACGAACCTATGACAGAAAATTGGGCGTACGGTCGTTTCAACGCAAAACTTGGAATTGATCAATATGGACGTGAGCGGTGGCTACGATCAAATCTCACGTCTGGGGCCTGATGTATAAACGTTGCAAACGCACAAAATGGGCATGGAAATGTGCGTACGCAATTTTCCACGTACATATTGAGATTTATAAAAAATAAACTTGGCGTAAATATGTGCGGGTACGGGTCTTGAACAAGTGCATACGCACTCTTTTACTGGCGTAATAACGAAGCCTAATGATTTCAGACTCTCTTTTCCTTTCAATATACACATTTAGATTAAATATTCTGCTCATTAATGGAGTTAAGCATTGACATTACATAAAGTCATTATTCAAAAGTTAAACAAAAACGTATGAATTTAGATATTTAGACATATTTGTACTGGATGCGCTGGTTTTTTTTATCACTTTTCTTGTTGCATGCTGTTTTAATGGCAGCGAGGAGTGCTAGGCACACAGTAATGTTTCTTTAAACTGCAGATCTCATGTTAAGAGAACATTTTTTTTTAGCAAGAACATCAAAAATGCGCACTTACTTCGATATTGTGGCAGACATGCTGGATTCGGTGGTCGAACGGTTCACTGGCAAGTTTAAATAGGTCAGAATATATTAGCCTACTGCACAACCAAGGCTGCACGGAGGTGTTTATTTCGCGAACATTCAGAACATTATGAAAATAGCATTGTGATTGAAGGATAGAATCTGAAGCAAACGATAAGATTTGCACGTTTCTTTTT